CCTCTGGTTTAATCCTTTAAACCTCTGGTTTAAATCTTTTAAACCTCTGGTTTAAATCCTTTAAACCTCTGGTTTAAATCCTTTAAACCTCTGGTTTAAATCTTTTAAACCTCTGGTTTAAATCCTTTCAACCTCTGGTTTAAATCCTTTAAACCTCTGGTTTAAATCCTTTAAACCTCTGGTTTAAATCCTTTAAACCTCTGGTTTAAATCTTTTAAACCTCTGGTTTAAATCCTTTAAACCTCTGGTTTAAATCTTTTAAACCTCTGGTTTAAATCCTTTAAACCTCTGGTTTAAATCTTTTAAACCTCTGGTTTAAATCTTTTAAACCTCTGGGTTGGTTTTTTGACTCAAAAACAAGATTCTCACAAGTTCTAAAAAATGATATGAGTATACAATCAATTATTGAAAAGCAAACAATCTGGGTATTACAAGTGGGCAAGTTGTCATATTTTTGTTTATACCAGGTAAACAATGTTTTAAGGTGTGTAAACCTAGTTTAGAAACCTGGTTTAGCAGACTTTATATCAGGGAAAACCTGGTTTAAGGTGTGTCAACCTGGTTTAGCACAGTTTATACCAGGTAAACACTGGTTTAAGGTGTGTAAACCTAGTTTAGCACACTTTATACCAGGTAAACACTAGTTGGATTACTTTTTGAATATCAAGTTCCAGTTTCTGTTTGTTCATTTTATAAGTAGGATCTCCATTCTTAGTTTCATGCAGTGATTACTATGGCTTACTTCAAACAGATCAATCAAGTCCTGCATGGATTTGAGCTTCTTGAATCTTGTTTAACATTTCCAATATGACATGCTGCCTCCCCCACGTTAGGCCAGCGTAAGCAACTGTCTCCGGGTTCCAGCCAAGGTGATTCAGTAATAGGCTGGACGAGTCAGTTGTGATTGATCGTGATAATCAGATTATCTATATGTGTTCTCCCAAAAGCAAATGAAGACACAAATACAAGAATTCAATACAGACTAAATTTTGTTGCAGTGGATCACCCATGATGAGCCCTGATCACCTGATGACAAGTTGACATCGGTCTGTCCTCCTTCAACTAATAATAAGCTTGTCTTGGCTGAACCCAGCTCAAAATCTCGTATCCAGAGAAGTAATCATGCAAGAACCTGAAGTCTTTAAGATGGCCTGTCTACAAGGACGGCCGGACACAAGAGGGGCTGTGGCGAGTCCGGGTCCGGCAAAGGAGCAGGGGCTGCGAATCTGAGATGGACGAGGTTTCGGGAGTCCTCGACGACGGCTAAGGTGACCGACCCTGCGGCAGAGTCTTCTTCAAAAAGACATGGGTCCGGTACGATCGTCGATCTTTTCACCACCATATTTCAAAAAAAAAGGTATGCATATTTTAGAGTTAAAAATGGCTCAATGAATGAAGGAAGGAGAGGCTTACCAATCGTAGCCACTTATGCTCGTCCGGATCGCTAATGGAACGGTCTCTGGATGGGTGGGGTTGACAAGCTTGAGGCTCTGTGTTTCGTGATTGAAGCTGACGACCGGGATCCTTGCTTTAATTTCCCCCCCAGATACATAGGAAAATGCACAAGTCAGTCAACCAAAAAAAAAGTCTAAGAACGGGTTAAAGATGGGAAGTACCGAAAGGGATGCGTCGAATGCATACATTGAACAACTGATGTCTCCCTGTCCAAGATCGACAAAAAGGCGCGCGCTCGTAGAACGATTGAGGGGCCTGTTGGTTGGGTGTGGTTGATCGAGGGGCCTGTTGGTTGGGTGTGGTTGGGTTGGCTGAGCTTGTTCGGTGACTACTCGAACCACTGAGCTGGCTGCTCGGCCCAGTAATTGAATTGCTCGAAGATCCGAAAACCACTCGGATTCAGCGGGTCCGATGAGCCACACTGCTCGGACCAGCTCCGATGTTTGGTCGGAACCAGCTGGCTCGATCTAGCTTACTAATCGAGCCAGCCGGGTCCGACCCGGTAATCCGCTCGGACCAACTCATCGGACGTTCACTGGCCCGAGAAGAAGTCGAGCTGTTGCCTCGAGTCTATCTAGCTCGAGTCGAGGAACTGATCGGACCAATTGGATCCCAGTTCAGCTCGGACCGGGACACCCCTCGAGCATGACAGGTCCGAGCACCCCTCGGACAAGAAAATGAGATCACCACTCTGATCAGTCAATCAGAGTGGATAATGTTGGCAGTGTGTTCGGTAGAAGATAGCCCAATGAATTATATTTGTGTGCCACTGTGTTCTGACATAGTCGACAAAGTTAAGATTGACCAAGGACCATTTGGCGTAAAATGACATTAAGGAGTGTTCCGGATTCTGACTGTAGATAATGTGTTGGAACTCTTTCACCGCCTCGTCTGACCGTTTTCGAAGAAAGAACAGGGAACGGTTTTTGAAGGCCTTCACAACATGAAACAAACACCAATACACCTTGGGTGCATGCCGACCGAGGTCTGTGTATGCGTTGGAGACCCCCTTCTTGATCGCAAGAGCACAGTCGCTCATGATGGCACAGGGTACAATTCCGGTTGAACTCCGAAGCCATTTCATGACTGCTTCGATTGGTTCCCTAAGAAAACAAAACAAAGCATCAGTTTTGGAACAAATCAAGGATTGTTAATGAAAAATTAAGGCCACTTACGATGCTGCAGATGCTGTGAATGCCCAACAGACTGGCAGGCCTTTTCCAACAATTGGGTCACGGATAACAAATGTGTACAAGCTGAACTTTTGGCCTTTGGAGAGTGATCTGTTATCGACCGAGTTGTGAGTGCTATCCAAAATAAGCATTCCCCATCCGTGGTCGAGGAGTTGTTGTTTCATCCGCATGGCGACTGGAATGCAAAGATGAATTCAGGTGAGTCCTGTGAAATTGTTGAGGTAGGTGTTCCATCCTTGTGATTGGAGGTTCTCGTGCCATAGTTTAATTGAAACGAAAGGGTCTGGGTTGCGCTTGGCCCAAGTCACCCATGCATGTACGGATGAGTTGTCGAACGTGATCGTACTTGATGTACCTTGCCTCGGCCCTAACACTGGGATCACCCATCTAGAGGAAGTCACAGTGGCTTGCAGTTAGATAAGGTCGAATCAAGGGGATAAGGATTATCAACAGCAGACTAAAACTTACAGCAAATATGTCAGGGCTGTACATCAGCTTGTGAATCGCTTTCCAACCGAGCCCTGAGATTACCCTTTCAGTAAGCCAATCTTCCACCATCTTGGGTACACGGTTCCGCTTCATCTCTTCTGCTGAGAAAGGGTTGTGATTGTGTTTCCATTGCCATTCGACTCGGAGGGAGTCGCTTTTGAGGTGATGGTAAATGCTGAACTTGCTTGTGCAGCCACATTTTTTGGAAACAGCTCGTTTCTTCCGTGAGTTCGGAACTGCCTTGTGAATGCCGGTTTGAGGGCATTTGTAATCAAGCCGAAAAGAATACTCAATTGGTCGGCCTTTCTTGTCGGAGGGGGCAGCCAGACGCTCAATGTTAGACCGGGGTCGTGAGGAGCTCCAATAGACCGTTGCCTGCATTGCAGTGACAAAGGCTTGGGCGTCCTCTAAAGTCCGACCGGGTATGGTGAAGCAATGAGTAGCAGTTGGGAAGGAAGGTGCACTGCCTCCCACAATTCGGACCATTCTTAATGCGTTTGGAATGACTGGCTGGTTAGGTTGAACTGGGATCTTCTGGGTGAAGGGAAGGGGGACTACATCATAGATGTCATCAACTAAAGGGTAGTTTGAGATGAAAGAATTGCTGGTGCTGGCTGGTCGCTTCATTGGGGGAGGTCGGCTGGTGAAAGATTAAGTGAAATGTGGGAGATAAGAGGGAGAGGGTGAAGATCGAAGTTACTGGACAAAGCAAGATGGGTAGCAAAAGGAAGGCAAAACAAGGACAGCAACTGATTGATGGGACTGGCAGAAATGTGAATAGGTTAAAAAATGTATGAATAGTCAAATGGCACCACAGGCGCAAGGTAAAGAGATCCGAGTAAACAAGCTTGAAGTTGGAGGTGTTGAGGCAAAAAGCGAGCAAGGAAATGGTTTTGTGGAGTATGGGAAAGATGGTTTGGTGAATTTTTGAACTCAAAGTGAGAAAGCTTGATCAAAGCAAGAATTGGCTTGGAAAATGCGAGATTGTGGAAAATTTGCTAATATGAAAAGATAGAACAGCTAATAGTTTGAAGTGCAAATATAGAGGCCAGCCTTAGAAAAGGAATTTCAAGTAACGATGCTGCTGGGGGAAGCAACATGCATTCTGAAGAGAGCTTATATATTGGTTGGCCGTCCTTGGAGCAGTGGACTTATCGCAATTGCAAGGTGTTAGCCTAGGAAAAAGTCGTGGGTCTGACCCCAGGGAGTGAGTTCGTCTGGTAGGACCTCCCCTGGGAAATATGTTGTCAGCTCGGGAGTGGAGGTGCCCACTTTGGGGCATTCAGGATTCCCAACACTGGGAAATGGCAATCTGGTAGGAAACCAGGAAATCCGTGTGTTGCTGATGGGCCTTGGAAATTTTACTACTCCTCTTTGGGTCTAGAGGAGTTACACTGTCATTATGGATTTCTGGGCTACTTTTTGCTTCCAGATTCCCCCACCGGGCATTCTCATTATGCCAAATCTCATTCCGGAGTCAGCGCGAATCGGTCACAATAATGTAACATGGCAACAGTTTTTTTTCTCCATTTTTTTGACAATTTTCTCGCGTGCCGATTCATCCATGCCTTATTGCCTCTAGATTCGCCCACCGGCGACATGCAGCTTCGCCTGCTTTTGGTGAAGCTTGCTGGTAACAAGAAGTTATCAACCCCTGCGGATGGTATTGGTTGTCCTGGGTCGTCGTCGCTTTTGCCACCAGTGGTTTCCAGTTCTTTGATTTTCAATCAAATTAAAGAGCATCCAACCAGCCCATCCAATCGGCAGGAAATTGTTCAATACCGAACATTTACAAAGCTGATCTCATCGGTCTCACGGATCGGTTGTGCTTCGTCGGATTCACAATCTCGCGTTGTCGAAACTACCGGCGCGGTGTATGTGTGATATGTACACAGTCAGATCTTTGAGATCAGCTTATCGATGTGCCTCCCCACCGCTGGGCCGCCACTACTAGATATTCGTTCAATATTTGCCAGCTTGGGCTTAGGAACTTGCGCCTAGCATACCTTTTGGCCTTGAAAGCACTCAATAACGTGCGCCAAGAGTATCGTCGGGTTTGCGATGCAGTAATTTGAGTGGCCGGGGCAAGCTCTTGCCGCAGGATGAATGTCAAGTGATGAGCCAGCTTGGAGTTCGTTGTACTCTAGGTTGAAGACAACTCAGTCCATAGTAGTAAGAATCGATATAAGAACCGTGGTTTGTATGATGGAACAAGATAATCCCCTCATCCTCATTCCCAATCAGCAGCTCTTCCAACAACTCTTCCGATTTTAAATACTCTTACCTGGTGTTGGAGTTTAATCTTTCAATTCTTCTAATTTATCGGTAGTATCAGTATCAGTTATTTCTTCATTTTTCAGCGTCAATAATACCTCCTCGCACGCCGCCTAGAATCATCCACACTTAATCTAGCCCAACCCCTATCCAAACATCTCAAACAGACATGTTGGTCACCATCCCTTTCTCCAGCTTGATTGCCCTTGTCAGCTGTGCTTCGATTCTCTGTGCACCCGGAGTCGTTCAGGATCCTACTCGTTACACGTAAGTCGGAGGGTTATTTTTTCCAATTCGATCTTTTATCATGGGTTTATGTTCTGACAAATATCAATCACCCCAATTCATCATATCAGTCTTTTACGAAGACAAGTCACTCCTACGAACCAGAATGGAATGAAAAACTTGACGTCGGGAGCAGGAAATCCAGTAAAGATGACGATGGGTATCCAAATGACGATGAATGGCGGACCGGTACCAATGACTTCGCAAGAGAAGGAAGCCCAGGAAGAAGCCGAAGAAAAGATGCCCGGCCTCAACACGATAGCCAACGCGATGAACGAGCTATACTTCCACGAGAAATACGGGAGCCAGCGAAACGAGCCAGCAATGTTGATGAAGATGGTCGGCCAAGCGGCTGGCAGTACTGGGAAGAGCGGCGACCCTGAGGTAGTCTCAAAAGCGATGCTTGCCACCTATGGGCCCTACAACCAAGGAAAGCCTTCTGCGATAAGCGCATCGCCCATCACCCCACTCAACAAGAACACGGCTTCGATGGAAGAAACCCCTTCGCTCAAGACAGTCGCCCATACTCTTCACGAAACCTGGGAGAAATTGATGACTATGACCCCCAAGCCTGACAATGCTCAGCTCGTCCCCGTGTTCTGTCAAACGATCGCCTCAAGCTCCGCCACCGGTGATGCAGCTTCAGTA